ACCAGAAATTGCATAATAAAGTTGATGTCTATAACTCGAAAATACCATAAACAGGTATTAATCAGACCAGAAATTGCATAACAATGTTTATGCCTATAACTCAAAAATACCATCCAGACTCATAAATTTTTGTAACAAATATGAAAGTACTTACGACAAAGCATCAATTCCATCCAAATAAACTAATTTCTATAAACAAGTATTATTCATTCATACGAGAATTACTTCATAGGACGTTAAAATACAAGCAAACAGGCAGACTAATAAAAAGGCCAGAACAAGTAATTCATTTATCATTGTAACTTGTCCTCAGAGAATTTGTAGCTTTTTACGAAACAGAGAACAAGAGAAGAGATGAGATGAAAGTGTTCAAAGACATTAATCTAGATATTGGTCCATTCGTTGGTTTAATATATGCAGAAACAGTTGAATATTGGACTTTTTTGTCGAGAATCCAAGAGTTACAGGATTGATGTTAAAATAAGAAAGTGCATGATTTGAATAGAATAAAAATGACTTGCTTTTCAAGATAACATCAATGAAATATGCCAACAACTTGAGACTAATAAATTATGATTTATGTTGAATGGAAAAGATTTGCAGTTCAAGACCTTATACTTAAAATACTCCAAAGACATGAGACTCACAAATTATGATCCATATGGAATGGCAGTTCAAGTCCTCATCAAAAAAATATGTGATGACTTGAAACTAGAGAGAGAGAGAGAAATGGGGTTTAAGGTCCACTCAACACAAACTAGGTCATTTCGGGACTAACACATGGTTTAATTTTATTCCAATAATTCGCTTGCACGTAGGGGTCTTTAGCAGTGGGAAGAAACCAGATGACCCAGAGAAAACCTACAAGGTTGGCCACCACCCCCCCCCCCCCCCGACTTGAAAGTAACAAATTCATAAGTTTCTATGCAAAAGAGAGAATTTTGCTTAAGCAGCACCCTTATTTGAATTCTAACTGCTAATTTGTATACAGAACCTTTTTCTTCCTATCTACAGTATTCAATGCAGCAAATTAATATAAGCCTAGCTGTTGATGCTTTAAAGACATTAAACCCCAGTTCATTTCATTAGATTGTCTAGTGGATCATCGTGGCTAAGTGGGTAAGACGCTGGATCGCTAGCCTGGAGGTCGGGTGTTCGATCCCTGCATTGGCCGAGAAAGTTCATCCAGATTTTCCGGCGTGGTTCCCCCTTGTCAGTGATGCAGGACGGAGGGCCTGACAAGGGCAGCTGTCTAGTAGTTCGGATGGTATGAAAAACTGAGGCCCTATGTAAACATTGGCGTGCATGTAAAAGATCCCTTGACAGTTGGAATTCGATATAAGAGTAGTGTATTCCCATCTTCATCAGCCAGGTCGGAGCAGAAAAGTAGGATGTTAAAATCCATTTCATTTCATTAGATTGTCTCTGTATCCTATTCTCAATATCTTCGATATAAATACTGTTTAAACCAACTCGACCATACTTAACACTAACAAACAATCCATTCAAGTAGACCAACAGATCTTAACAAATATTTTCTTCCTAGGATGGGATATGAGTTCTGTGTCTGGACGTCAACACAATAATTTGGTCACTTTGGGCCAAACACATGGTTATTTTTTTCTATTGACATGTGTGCCATTCTAGGAAGGAGAATTTTGTCCTGACAATTCCACATGTCAAAAGGTTCTTTTACGTGCACACTAATGTAAATACAGGTGGACCTTGGTATTTCATTCAACACAAAATACACATTACATTTCATTGATATTTGTTTCAAATATTACCGGCATAAAAACAATAAATGTTATTAAATATGTGAATAAAACTCTTTTTTTCTTCAATTTAAAATTGTTCCTCTTTCTGTGGATAAGGCTACCATCATATATTAAGGATACAAAATCACTGTGTACATTAAAATCCTTGCTAAAAACACTTTTATTCAGTGCAGATGATTGAAATCTGGTGCAACTGTGACAGACCAGTGAGAAAACATTTGGATACGAGGCGCTATACAAATCCATTATTATTATTATTTTGATTATTTTTCCTCATTAGTCCAGTTGGTGCAGAAAAGTCAGACTTTAAACAGCATTTCATTTATCCTGTCTGTATTTTGTTGTTCAGTTCTCCTGTGTTGAACAACCCATCTGGTACTATACAGGGGGAGGCAACTCTTGTAATGTATTAATTAGCTTGGCCTTAATTTAATTATATGATTGTTCTGTGCCACCACAACACCCTACATACATTTAATTTATAGAAAACATCTGTAGATTGTCTGGTGTCTGAACAACACATTATACACATAAAAAAACTTTCAAACCTTTTCCTAATATATTCTACACATGGCATAATAAAGTTAGACAGGGGAAGGGTCTTTAATAAACTGGAGAACCCAGAGAATGAAAGTGGTTAGTCAGGCGACCAAACTTGTCACGTACAAGTGTGAGATCAAAACCATGTCAGAGACCGGGGGAAGAGTCTTTAAATTGGAGAACCTGGACAATAAAAGTGGTTAGACAAGCGACCAAAGCCTTGTCACGTACAAGTGTGGGATCAAAACCATGCCACTTGACTTAATGACAGACCTTATAATATACAGAGCACATGTACAGAGACTCCTCAATTCTAGAGTTCATGTGGCTCAGTGCCTTTGGTGTTTGGTCACTATACGACAGGTCAAATGTTAGATTCTGGTATAATCCAGGGGCTGCTCATATGGGTGTCAATTACAATGTCACTAGAAAGTCATTAACAATATGACTTTCAAACAAGTTCTGGTCTTAAATTCTGTTTTAAAAGCTGGTATATTGTCAAAATTTTGAACACTTTGTGATAAAGATTTCCATTTATTGGAGAAGACAAGGAAACCATATGTTAATCACGCTTTGAAGTTGGTGTATTTACTGTTGGTAGGCTTTTATCAGATATGAACTGGCAGGAAAACAAATAGCAGTTCCTTTAAATAACAGAACCAAATGAAATGAAATGAAATGGGGTTTTTACATCCTACTGTTCTGCTCCGACTGGGCTAATGAAGATGGGATAACAGAAAGAGAAGTAGAGTTAAATTAATGTAAATAAAACAGTAACTTATAACATGAGGTTTCAGTGAATGAAATGTAGTTTTATGGCAAGGTAGCTCGAGTTGTATTAGACAGAATAAATCAAAAATCATATATTTAAAAAAATTCAAGAATTATCATAGACTAATAGTAAATATCTGAAAAGGGTTGGATCACCGGAACGTTGTAAAGAATAAACAAACTCTTATTTTAACTTAAAATCTGTTTGTACTATCGATGACCAGGAATTTTTGAATATCTATGTATTTTTACTCTCTTTGCCAGTATCATCGTTTTGATCAAGCAGCTACACAGATCTACTCGTCTGTCGAACCTCTGATACCCCTTTTAAGTTAGGTTCCCACTGTCCTGCGATAGGATTGTCCCTATTGAGTCCACGTTCTGGTATGTGAAGATACGTTCGGATACACTATGATACAATCAACATGATTGCCACGACTGACCTCAATATGTTACAAGACCTGATAAGATCACCACAATTACTCCACGATTAAAACTACGATTTCAAGCGTAGCACGAATCGTGATAGTGGGAAACCAGCACTAAGGGAGTGTTGCCTTTCTCCCTCCCCATTTTGAGATATTTAAAAAATATCACTAGTAATAAATATATGACTTTTAAGTAACACCTTTTGTCAAAATTTACTAAATGCCTAACATTCAACTTCTAAAATATAAAAATTTTCAAGCCCATGTGAAGTAGCAAAAATTCAGAAACAAAAAATCGTTTTAGTACCATACTTAAAAAGATCAATAGTCTTCGAAAGTACTTTCATGTACATCTCAAAGGAGACATTACTTTTTCGAAATGTTTTTGAAAATCCAATTGCAGATTTCCATTTTTTGTCAGGATGAGATTGAAAAAAGTGAGCGTACAACATGGATTCTATTGAGTCTATATCTGGTCGTTTGAAAGCTCTGTATTCACATTTGACGAGAAATCTCACAGGACTGTTTTCCATTTAAGAGAGCATACAAGAGATTAGGATTTATGAGGATAAATAATTAGTCTTTTGTTGTCACTTGAACAGTAATCAATAGAGTTAGAATCTCGCAGGAATTGTCGACTTTGTTCAATTCTGAGCAGATTTACACATAGAAAAATCATTAATTGAATATTTAGACAGGCAAAAGGAATGGAATGGAATGGGTGTTAATGTGGTATGGCATCTCATCAACACAACAATTTGACCCTTTTGAGATAAACATATGTGCAACGTGAGATAGGAGATTTTGTCTGCAACATGCAAGTGCAAATGACACACGGCCATTGTGTGTGGCCATAACAAGGTGTATCTGTTAGTTGCTTCTGTAACTATAACAACATGTACAATGTATTTGCTGGTTGTTTCTGTAGCCATAACAACATGTACAATATATTTGCTGGTTGTGTCTGTTGCGATAACAACAAGTACATTGTATTTTCTGCCGTGTCTGTTGCCATAACAACATATACAATGCATTTTTCGGTTGTGTAAGTAGCCATAAGAACATGTACAGGGTATTTGCTGGTTGTGTCTGCAGCCATAAAATCATGTACAATGTATTGTACATGGTTTGGCTGTTGCTATAACAACATGTACAGTGTATTTGCTGGTTGTGTCTGTAGCTATAACAACATGTACAGAGAGAGAGAGAGAGAGAGACAAATAGGGTTTAACATCCACTCGACACAATCTAGGTCATTTCAGGACTACCAAATGGTTCAATTCGCTTGTGTGTAGGGGTCTTTAGCAGTGTGAGGAAACAAGAGGACACAGAGATAACCCACGAGGCTGGACAGGCAACCCTACTCCTTGTTACATACAACCAATGTATTTGCCGGTTGTGTATGGTGCCATAACAACGTGTATCTATGGATTTTCTATCCTGTGGGGTCTATTACAAATGATTTTATCTTTTGTCTACTCACCAAAGCATCTGCATCTTTCCATAAATCATCCAATTCCTGGAATTGTTGGTTGATTTGATTCAATGCTGATTCTTTTTCATTTGCATGCTGACTTTGCTCCATTTTTTCTTCCTTCAAGAAACTGAACATTTCATCTAGGTCCATGTTGTTAGGGGATACAGGAGGGTTGTAGTGGGACCACATCGATTCAATCATATGAGTTAAAGATTCCAACTCCTCCTGAGATTGTCTGAAAAAGGAAATTTCGATTTATTTCCTGAAAACAATGGGAGGGTTAAACATTTCATCGACACAATACTTCAGTCATTTTGAGTGAAATTAAATGGAGTTTTAACATTCTGCTCCAACTGGGCTAATGAAGACGGGCATATGCCATACAGTGTGTTATTATGGAAATTTACCCGGCCAGTGGCACTACAGCCTACTCTTATATCGAATTCCAACTACCATGGGATCTTTTACATGCACGCCAATGTATACACGGGACCTCTGTAGCTCATCCCATCCAAATAACTAGACAGCTGTCCTTGTCAGGCCCTTCGTCCTGCACCACTGACAAGGGGAAACCAGGTTGAAAATCCTGATTAACTTTCTTGGCCAATGCATGGATAGAACATGCGACCTCCAGACTAGCAAGCCAGCGTCTAACCCACTTAGTCAGCCCTACTACATCCAAAAGAAAACTAGAAGTAATTAAAGAGTTCATATTTTCAGTATAAATTCAAATAAATCTGTATATTTACTTGATTGTTTCTTCAATAGCAGAATCATCTGCCACAGCTTGTTCTTCTCTCTGTCTTTCTGCTTCTAATTCTTCCTGTTTCCTCTTTTCTTCTTCCAGACGCTTCTGTACCCGGAGATTTGTTGCAAGCTTTCTAGCTAATGTACCTCTCATATACGCCTAAAAAATAAAAAACAAGGTTAATCTGAACACTTAACATCACAAAATATAGTTTCCGGGTTTCCCCAGAAGATTTCATTTCAGTCTGAATAAATCTCAAAGTACAACAGGTTTGTGAATTACGAGGAATTGAATCCGGATGTTTTTTTTACAGCCATTTTGTCTGTAGATATCATGAACCTGATCTTGAATTGTCTCTAAAAATATATTTTTACATTTTTTTTCCTAAACATTTCACAAATTTCTTTTTTATCCAATTAACAACTTCACTTCCCAATCCCTGTTCTTGTTTCAAAATAAAATAATTATGTTCCGTTCACTATTGGCTCCTACGGTTGAGTTTATTCCCCAATATATACCTAATCTCCATTTAGCTCCACCAAATTTTGTTTTTAATCCTATTATCGAATTCAATAAACAATTCCTAGATATAATTTAGTTAGCCATCATTTACTTTCAAAATAATATTAGCTCCGCCATGTTCTATTGTTATTTACATTCCCAATGTCAGGGTCAACGCAGCAAGAATAATTAACAGACCAGTAAATTCTAAATATAATTAAATATATATCACGATATTAATAGGCCACACCAATTTGGATTTCTGTTTTTGGGGGCAAACAACTTCTAAAACAGCTACCTCCAATTTCTTCAGGAAAAAAACCTCATTTAAAAAGATAGAGTAGCCTACTTAGTTGCTCCTCCTAAAAGCTTTTAGTTTTAAGTATTTAAGTTTTAATTTTTTTTTTTTTAGTAAAACATCATCGACACGAATTGGGTGGGTTATTTAATGATGAAGATGCTAAAGAGAGAGAAATGAGAGACAAATGAGGTTTAACATCCACTTGGCACAAACTAGGTCATTCGCTTGCTCGTAGGGGTCTTTAGCATTGGGAGGAAACCGGAGGACTCAGACAAAACCCACAAGGTTGGACAGCCGACCCTACTCCTTATCACGTTCAGGTGGGGAATCGAAAGTACACCACTTGACTCAATGACGGACAGGGGTTGGATGGCCGAATGGTTAGCATGTGCACGCGCTGTATCATAAGGCCTGTCATTGAGTCAACTCGCATGGTTTCGAATCCCTGGTTGTACGTGACAAGGATTAGGGTCGCCTGTCTAACCTCGTGGCTTTTCTCCGGGTCCTCCGGTTTCCTCCCACTGCTAAAGACCCCTACGCGCAAGCGAATTATTGATATAAAATTAAACCATATGTTAGTCCCGAAATGACCTAGTTTGTGTCGAGTGGACATTAAACCCCATTTCTCTCTCTCTCTCTCTCTCTCTCAATAACAGACCTTAACCATTCGGTTACTCAACTCCTCAGACAATGAAGAAATAAAGAATAAATTAGCTGGGCCTAATCAATACAATTATATTTATACATGGGTGTACTAATCTAATTGATTCGACATTTTAGGGTATTAGGTATAATTATATCACATCATGCAATACTTTTCATCAGATGTTGGCAATAGTTTTTATGACATCTGCATATAAAGAAATAGTTCCATGATATTTTTCACATTTTGAAAAACCTTTCACGCCATGTTTGTGTGAAGAAATAGTCTGATATACTTTTCATGACATGTCGGCCCACAGACATAGTTTATTGACATGTTGACAGACATATTAGTTTTAGAATGCAGAATATATAAAAGCATACAGGTCACAATTCTATGGAATACAATTACTGCTTATAACTGAGCGACGTTTCGACTAGGCTTCTTTAGTAATAAGCAGTAATTGTATTCCATAGAATTGTGACCTGTTTACTTCAGTTCAATTACTAAATGCCATTGAAACAATTTATATAAAAGCAAAAACCTAAAAGCCCAGAAATATAATTCATTGTGACCGCAAACAGAAATTAAATGGGTTTAATGTCCTACTGTTCTGCTTCAACGGGGCTAATAGTAAGTGCAGGAGGTCCACACTACACGCAAAACAAAAATCTACAAGATAACCCTGCGGACAAGACAGAAAATAGACATTCCACCAAATAAACAAATATCAAATCAAGTGAATGGATCTGGGGGGCAGCTGTAAGCGTCCATTGCACTGTACAATCCCTGACATACGCCATACAGTGTGCTATGAGGGAAAATTTGCCCGGGCTGTGGCACTATGGCCTACTCTTATATCGAATTCCAACAGCCAAGGGATTTTTTACGTGCACGCCAATGTATACATGGGACCTCATTTTTTTGTCCCATTCAAACAGCTAGATAGCTGTCCTTGCCAGGCCCTCCTTCCTGCACCATTGACAAGGGGAAACCCCATTGGATATTCTTGATGAACTTTCTCAATCAATACATGACCACAAACGGACCCATGAGCTGAAGTTGTTTAGTTTACCAGTGTTCAGAGAAATTTATATGTCAATTTATTAACAAAGGCTACAAAATTTGATCTTTACTGATCATGTATTATTAAAACAAGTATAAAAACAAAAATTTAAAGACTGATTCATATAGGAAGGCAGAAGGCAATCGTTGAAGGACACTGAAGAATTTATATTAGCTTCCATTTATTTTCAAATCCATCACATCATTATCTTATATAATCATATCGTACTCAAAATAAAATAATGTCTAAATCGACGACAGTGATACCCAGACATTTAAAAATTTTAAATCATGATCAACTTACCTGTATGACTATTGTTGCCTTTCTCTTTCTGACAAACACCAGACGATATCGTAACGCTCGGAAATTCTGTTGTAAAACGATGGCCGCCTCCCTCATATGTAAATAATCTGTGAATAAAATGTAGAAATGGATTAAAAATTGAAATTAAATGGAATCTATTGATTGCTATTCGGGTATTTGTTTGTATAGATAAATTGACAGGTGAAAAGAATTCAACAAATAAAACAAAATATCGAAAGTCCATTAACTCATCAAAACGTCTCAGGCAATTATTCAAATTAAAGTCTAATAACACCATTAATAGATATCTAGAACAGCAGTTTGTCCCTTAAGAGATACTGGGTATACATTTTTATTTATAAAATGGATGATTATATACCATGTATTTCCAAAAGGGTCTAAAGTTCAATGCAATATTCTTACAAGCTGTCAATTCTGTTTTAAATTAAAAATAATTCTTGACTGTTTTAGATGTCATGCACACTGGTCTATGGTTTTGTCTGGTATAAAGCATGCTGGGTATGTACTTTATGTCACAAATTTGTCCTTTTTCAGTGTTTTTATTAATTTTTTTAATACACAACTGGCTAAAACATGTCAGATACAACAGCAATAGTACCAGAACACACAAATATCATTTTTTCCAGGTCTAGGAATGATGCAATGCATTTAGAAACAGATCTGCAAATAAATCGCTGCAATATTGTCCGTCTTAAACTCAGAGAGAGAAAGAGAGAGAAACAGGAGGTTTAATGTTCACTAAACACAAAGTGGCTTATTTTGGGACTAACACCTGCTACAACTTTATTTCAATAATTCACTTGCTTGTAGGGTTCTTTAGCAGTGGGGGTAAATCAGAGGACCCAGAGAAACCACAAGTTTAGGCATTTTTTTCAAGATCAACACAGTGCATATTGGAAGTTTAGCTTTTTAAATTTTTTATTGGGATTTATGCAATGCATGAGGGTGAATGTTGACATAACAGGAGAAGTTTCGCCTACTCTTTTTAATAATTGAAATTGCTGTGGTAACTTGTACAGACATGGACACTTAGTACAGGGTTTTTATAATATTTTAAAGTACTTTTACCTAAAGGAAGCCGTAACACTGTTTTATTTTTAAATCCTTCTTAAGCTTCCAGAAAGACAATTTTATTCAGAGTATTTTATTAGTATTAACTACCATTTCGTGACATAAGCTATGGTTTATGCCAAACAGAAAAAAAAAACAACAAGCAAACAATAACAATATTTTTCTAACCTCTGCGCTTCACGAAACCTCTCCATATTTTCTGTATAATGATTGCCTTCTCTATCAACAATTTCTGTCGCTGTTCTTCCAACGGTTCAAACACACTCGTTCTCATAAATACCTGAAAACATTTTAAACAAAAATAAGTACCCAGAAATAAAACTGATTTCCCATCGGTTCTTCTGCAATCACTGTACGATATTCTACAGTTTCAGTTATATCATTTTGATGATATTTGTGTACTTGAATGAAAGCACCCAGCATCCACCTTCTGAAAAACAAAATCTGTATGATCAACAAAGCTGAAAAATCTAATTTGTACACAGCACCTTGGTTTTTGTTGGGGTTTTTTTTTGTCTCTACCGAAAGACTATACCTTGTCCCATGCTAAAAAATCCTGATGAACTTTCTCGGCCAATGCAGAACCCTCAGGTCAGTGAGCCAACGTCCTATTCACTGAGTCACAACGGCTTTTACAAATAACTGTTAACCTCTTATTGACATAACAGAATTTATTTTATGATCAGTAGTGGAATACCGCATTTTATCAGTGAAATAAAAGTGTTATTCCACTGGCTCCAAGCGGACAAAGTAGTCCATGTTGTTTTTACCTAAAATGATTGTAAAATCATAAAATAAATAGAACATTTGTCATTTTGTCGTGAATAACATATTTTATTTCATCTCTAAGCAAGAAAACGTTTATATTTTCACTCATGCTACGCATTCGTGAAAATATAAGTTTTCTTGCTTCTCGATGAAATAAAACATGTTATTCACTCTAAAACGACAAATATACTCTATATCTTTTTACATTTTTAAAAATCTGGCAAATATTTACAAAGGTCAACCCTTAAAGTAGCTAAGTCTCTAACTCAATATCATCCAAAATTTTCAACATTGAAAACCGATTTATTTGTCAAATTAAATCAACATTCATGTTGTGATCTTACCGGAAAAAGATGGGCTTTTGATATCCAATATTTAAGACAAAATAAACATTTTACCATTGGTACACGAATCATGTACCATAATGCGCTTCAGCCCCAGTTGTATCAAGAGACTCGAGGGACGAGACTAGACACATTGCACCAAATCAAACGGCGTATGTAGACTGGAATAACCAGACGCTAGAAATTTGCACTCGCTTGAGACTGCTGGCTTATTTCGCCGAACATAACTGATTTGAAATTGGTGTAAAAACGGAAACAATTGAATGTAAATCAGTTTATATACATTCATATTACAGTATTATATGCGTTGCGACCCACTTTTGTCAATTTCTAGGTCCCAAATGTTAGCGATTTAGCTCCTTTAAGTTTAGTTCGATAAAAAAAACACCCTGACATTTTGGCTTATTTCTCAACTCGACAAATTCAGTAGCTATCGGTACATTTCAAACAAACTTACCAAGTTGAAAAGAAAATTTTCCTTGAAATTAATCTTAAAATCTATGAAATTAATCCAAAGTAAGAATATGTTTATCAGAAGTTGAAAAGAAATCCATAATTTATCTACAGACAATCTTCTTGAAATGCAGGTTTAACAGCTCACCTGTATATTAAGGATAACATGCATCTGCTTATATATCGTGGAGAGATTATAAATAGGATAAAATCAAGGTATAATTTTATTATGAAAGAATCCACCTGTCAAAATTTAGTTGTGTATAAAAACAGGACACCTGATTTTTTAACATCAGCAGTGAAATTTTAATATTGAAATCTTTTAAACAGGAACCATCAGAAGAAATATAATAAATAGTTAAAAGCTTCCATGACTAGATGCCAAATTTTAAAACAAGTGTTGCCATACAAGATATGTCCACACTGAAAGAGATGGACAGAGAACTGAGAAAATCGATAGGGCTCATCCACTCATTATTACCAATGCTTCACATCAAATTTGAAAAAAAGTTCATATTTAAATAATTTAATCAGTAAACAATTTAATAAACTGTTAAAAACTTCTATCACTGAGTGCCATTTTTTAAAAAAAAATATTACTAAAATCTATTCAGAAAAAATATTTAAAAGGGTGACTCTATGGTCTCTCAAAAATAATGAATTCCGTCAAAAAATTCATTTTTTCCATTTTTGTTTCATCATCATCCTGGAGTATATAACATCTTACTTTTCTGCACTAACAGGTTAATTTAGTGTACTATAGGAAAACTCTGCCTACTCTAGAACAAATTCTGAGAAGGGTTCTTTGACGTGCACATCAATGGGTACACAGGTACTCAGATTTTTGTCAGATCAAAAGGACTAAAAACTTTTCTATGCCTAGCCCCCCACCCTGCATCATTTAAAAGAGGAAAACCTGGTTAGGAACTTTAACAACAAACATTTTGGGATGAAACCTAATGAGCCACCAATTAATTTTTTTAATGAAACCAAAGAGAACCATTTTATATCTTACATCAAGCTCAATATTTTTGGTAATTTTTGTATACAGCTCCTGATAGTACTGTACAATTTAGCTACAAAGCATTAAGTGCATGCACTCATTAAAATCATAACTTGATAATCATAATCAGCTGTTTACAGATCTCAATTAATCATCGCTTCACAAAGTTTGTTTATCATGGGCTACTCTTTTCTCTCTTCTACTTAGCGGAGTTGGGTGGCTAAATGCTAAAGGTCTGTCATTGAGTCAAGTTGTCGTGATCCCACAAGGAGAAGGGTCGTCTGCCAAACATTTTGAGATTACTCAACGGGTCCTCCAGTTTCCTCCCACTGCTAAGGACCCTTACGTGCAAGTTAATTATTTAAAACAAATTGTACCATTTGTTAGTCCCAAAATAACCTAGTTTATGATGAGTGGACGTTAAACTCCATTCCTCTCTCTCTCTCTCTCTCAAATTTTCAGTTTTGAATCTATTTCCTTCTTCTCTATACAATGATGTTCAAACCAAGGCATAATATCGTCATATTGGAAAAAAATTAAAATTATTTCTAAACTGAAGACTTGTCAGAACTTATGAAAATGTTTCTGTTTCATTTTAGCAAAAAAAATGTTGTGTTTTATAACAAAAGAAATGTTTTCCTTTCATGTGCAAATTGAAAATGTCACTTTTTGAAATAATAAATCTGTCCCTCATGAAAGAAGCTATAGCCATGGAATGACAGACCTCCAGAGATCATTCTGAACATCAAAATTGATATATCTTTTTTTTTTAGAATATAATAGAAAATCAAGAAATTCATTTTTACCAGTACATAAAAGATCGGTTGCTAGGGAATGAAACATTTGCGTTTCTGCAAATTACGGGGGACAAAATAGAAAAAAGAAAGGTTCAAACCAGAAGCCAGAGAAATCCTGTCCCAGTACAACAACAGATCTCAACAAACGCCATCATGATGGACAAAAATACACTCCACATTATTACGGTTTCACTAATCCTTTTAGAAGGAATCAAAATTCATCCTTAAAATAAATATCCATCCTCAATTCATGTCACAAAAGATTTGGACAAAATTATCACTCCAAAAATATGAGACATGGCACCATACTTATTTTGGGGTTGTGTATTTTTCAGCTTTTATCTCAACTTATAGTTAGCTTTGTTTTCTTGTCAATTGTCTTTTAGAACATCTGATACCACTTCTCTTATAATTTGTGATGTTCACACAGTTGGCAATTTTATGTTGTATACATTTAAGCTTTTACTGACAGTGGCTTGGTTTCTTGTCATTGGATATCATCCATGCACTTGTGTCTTCTAGAACACCTGATAACATTTCTCATCATATAGCTAACTTTTGGGGTTTTGTATTTTCAGCTTTCAGAATCAACTGCTTGGGTTATCAGAGATCATTATCAATGCCTAGTTTCATGTCAGTTATCAGTGGATGTTATCCATACACTTGTGTTTTGTCTTTCTAGAACACCCGATACCACCTTTTTCTGGTTGTGTATTTTTCACCTTTTAGCTTTGATACTTGATCAGTGGATGTTATCCATACAATCACATCTTGTCTTCTATAAGCATGTTTTTCATTTTAAGAGTTGCAACTAATACTATTGAAAGAACACATTTTCATTGACACACATCCAATTTATATTTACGTTTCCCTGTATTCTTATAAAATTTGTAAAAACGTTGAAAGTAAACAGAAAATAATATTTAGCAATTCCTGGTAATGTAAAATCAACTCCTTAGTTTATTTCCGTTCATCGTTACATAACTTAATTAGAGTCAAGACTAAATTATAAACATATTTAACGGCTCCCACAGAACCGATTATAATGTTTAAAAAAACAACTTCCTCGTCACTTTTCATTAAACAAAATATCTCATAAGAATCACTGTTAAATGAGTTGTTTCAAGTTCTACACACTTCTAGTCAGCTGTTTGTTGTTCCAGAACATCTGACACCAACACCTTGTCATTTTTAATTACAGAAACTGCTTATACAGTGTCCAATTACGGTACTAAATGCCAAAAAAAGAAGACCATATCTTTTTATTTTAAGCAATATTTTTTTTCTTCAAAAAACCTGAATGGTATTGAGGAGCAGACTTAATTAAGAGGTCTTGTAACACCCAATAACAGTGTGCATAACTCCTCAAAATCCCATTCAAATTCCGACTTCAAAAACTCTTAATCCACTTCAGCATTTTGAAATTCTGTTTACAAAGTTTTCTAAATCACATTTTGAAATTAATAATAACCAATCTTAAAAAATCTCCAAGTTCATCCCAAAGCTTCCGAAAACCCGACTTGATTCAAATTGTTTTCAATTCTTCAAGTTATCTTGTTAAGTACGTTCATCCAAAATTTCATTAATATTCAGTAGCTGTCAAAATATTGTGAATGTAAATGAAACCGTCCCCGCCTCCAGAGGATCATCCAAACATTAATTCTGTTTTTCAGAGCCACATAGGAACATGACCACCAAGGACAGTTTTCAATTTACTTTTAAAATTCTGAGTACATAATGGCTCGATGATCAAACCAATTTATTTTATGGAAAAGCATCTCAGGATTGCTTTCCATTTTAAAATCTTAAGATACGAGATTGAATTGCATTTCGCGAAACCTTTCAATGGCGCAGAAAAATTAATTTCGCTTAATCTTGTCGATCCTGCGACACTAAATTCCCATCAAGTATTATTATATGTTTCGACCAACTTTCTTCAACCTCTTAGAACTCAGTACAATATTATGGAGTAAAATCATTGCCAAAATTCAGTAAATATATCACAAAACCACCATCTTCACATTATGGAATATTAAATCGTTTGACAATAATAACATTAAATTCATATCTTGATTTCATTTCAGTCTACTGTCTGAGGAAACTTTCCTTCAAACTTTCCTTCATAGTACACGGTACAGTAGAGCATTACATACAATTTCATTTTATTTCTGTTCATATCTACAAACACAATTTACGTATATCAGAATGTAGATCTCAATATCATAAGCATGACTGTAGTCGCTGTACATGTACAGATATTATCAAATAAACCCCATCCTTGTAGCAGTTTTCTGGCATGCTTACTCTTGTCAGTGTTACAGGCAGAGATTCTAGTTGGATGTGATGAAAAACGTGCTTCCCCCTTGTCAGTGTCTAGTCAGATGAGATGAAAAAGATTGGCATGCATGTAAAAGAACCCTTGAGAGTTGGCATTGGATGAAGAGCAGACGTAAACATGTTATACATAAGAGCAATTGTGAGTTTCAAGAGATTCCTCCCTTAATTGCTATAATCCATACAAATTTGAAAATGATAGATTGTTGACATAAAATGGTGGGCAGATAACACAAGCAGATGGCGACAACAAATGTCTACATTAAAATGTGAAATATTGGCTGTGTTTTTATTCCATAGAAATGACAATTTCAATTAATTTTGTGACTAGTTTGTATAAACTGTATGACACCATCCTTTGTAGAAATTGGGATCAAATATATAGATTCTTTTGTCGCAAGTGTTTAAGATATTGGAAAACCAGTAGATATGGTAACTTGAAACAAAATCACGATCCATTTTCCGATGTCTTGCACAATTTTCTTTTAACTAATGGACAAAATATAAATGTGATTTTGTTTTCACACAATTTGAAGATATTGCCAAAAGAAACTCGGCTAAGATCACAAATAGAATGTAATCAGAATTTATTTCCCACCTTTCGATTGTCCGTAAACATATTCAATTAATTTTCTCGATATTAAGTAAACCTTTCGACAGATTAAATCCTGGCTGATATATTTCTTTTAGCATCAGTAATGTCTTCTTTCACAATATTTCAATTCTACATTTCAAAATAATTTACAAATTTTGAAAAAAAATATTACACCTGAACTCAATGAATATTTTTGGTAAAGTGAAAAAATTTAAACTAGGTTTTATAACTCCTATTTATCGCTATGTAATATTTTGACTAATAATACAAGTAGGAAGTACAAATTTAGGAAATATTTACACTATTTTGAAATTGTGAATCTATGAAATAATGTTTTTTTTTTTATATTTATGAGTTGCATTGTGAATTGTTGGTGTGGAATTGAACGAAATGAAATGGGGTTTAATGTCCAACTGATAGCACTGTTCTGCTCTAACTGGGATAGTAGGCCGCTATGGCCTACTCTTATATCGAATTTCAACTGCCAACCAAGGGTTCTTTTACGTGCATGCCAATGTACACAGGACCTCTTTTTTTTTGTCCCATCTGAAGAACTACATGTATACACTGTCCCTTGGCAGACCTTCTGTTTAACTAGCCATATTTAAACTTACAGATTGTATATAAATCGACATGAATTAATTGTTTCTCAGCAAGAACTATTTAAAGTTAAACTTACTTTTTTTTTTATATAAATCAGGTGTATTAATTGTTTAACGAGCAAGCAGTATTTAAACTTACAGACTTTAAGGCAGATAATGATGAGAAAACCAGGTACATCTTGAAGCTTCAGTGATTTTACACAATATCTTACAACGAATGTCTATTTCAAGTTCTGCTCTCAAATTCCTTGTAAACAAGACAAAATTTTGTTTTGTATGTTCTTTCTTGCTCTGTCCAATCAGATTGTCTTATTTCATTTCACGGCTTGATCCAATTATTGCTTCGCAGAAAGGAGCACATACAACTGCGCATAAAACGTTATGCAAAATTCCACAACCCCAATAAAAATCCTCCTGACATCAAATTTACAATGGCTTCAATTTCTCAAATAAATTCATAGAATAGTTTATTTTTAGAGAATTTTCATTAATAATAAATTTTAAAAATTCTGTATTTGTAATAATTACAAATTTAATATCTAACTGTGAAAGGGGTTTAGTAAGTTCACGCTGCAACACAATAACTTGAGCAGATACAACATCTTTGAATAAAACACGAAAGAGTAGATTCAATTTGATGTCTTCATTTGCCTTGTGATATCAGTGAATATCTGTGTATTTTAAAATTTTACTTCCACACATGGAGCCACTGTTGACAGAAAACTGATTTTGTGTTCAAGATCTCGAGTCTACATTTTAAATCAAACCAAAATCAAAACTAAAATTAGTTTAAAAAAAAAAAAAAAAATTCTGCTTTAATCTTTCTAATCTAGTCCCATTACTAATCCAAATAACGGATCAACCTAATTCCACATTTTCCTTTGACTTAAACCAAAGAGATTAAAGATGCATTATGTAAGATTTAGATGAAGATCTGACAGTTCTTTTCTATAATAGTTCAAAAATAGATCATGAAAAGGGAATATCTTGAAACTTTCTGTCAAATATACTATCTCCCTGATAATGTCTGTCTACTACATCGTTAACACTGTTTATAACGTGCATTTTGCATACCGATAGTTCATTGGCCAACTAGCTATTTTACTGAGATTTCGCCTAATAGTTTGGATGCAGCTATTTCGGGTGTGGCGCCAGGCAGGGTAAGCTTACTCTTCCGGACACCTGTTACCACTGTTTGTCGTGTATTTTGTACACGGTGAACAGTCCATATGCTGATTACACTATTTTGCCTTATTACACTATTTTGCCTATACCGTTTTTTTAGGACTTCAAATTTTGTCTAATGGTTTGGATTGTTCGTACTTGGTTTTATTTTATTTCATTCTAAGCAACGTTTAGAGAATAGGGGAATCTCAGTTGTCATTGCTTTTTATGATAGTAAACAAAGTCTTGATTATAGACTTTTTAATTAAATCATTAACCACCAATCATGTTTAAATCACTTTAAAATCTAGAGCATTTGATGCAATTGAGAGTTGATTATGGTTTTGATAAGTTAATAAATATCTAATTAATAATTTATTTAACATTTAAGGCCTAAAGAAAGACCTGCAGTAGGCAAATTTAGCTCTTGCATAATGCATCTTTAAGTCTATTGAACACAACAAAATCCAAATTGAAATGTCTATTAATCCCATTCTATCAACAAATTATAGTCACAAGCTGAAATTCACACAAATATTTTCCCTTTTCACACAAATATTTCTCCTTGAATTAAAACTCTCTGAGTTAAAGGTATGTACATCATTACATGTTTACCACACATCAACATATTTCAATAATTCCTGAAAACATTGTAAATCTAATAGGTTTACAACCATCCTACAGTGTTCCCCAGAAGCACTAGGAAAAAATTAAAATCCATTACAATAAATAACTAGTATTTTTTTTTTTTTTTTGTTTCTTCAATTAAATATCACTGAGCCAGAACATCCTAAATGTGCAGTTTCCAAACTGATAATGCTAATAAAACTTTTTTTTTTTACGTTGAATCAAATATTACTGAACCAGTACATCCTAATGGTACAATTTCTAAAACTGTTCGGTTTTGGTCGTTTAAACTTTAATTAAATATCATGGAATCAGGAGTTCCTAACTTTATATTCTACACATAAACCACACTTTGATTTCAATCTTTCTCTAATTTTACTTCACCAAATTATAACAATTCCATGTAACTACTTCAAATTTTAATTTATTCAAACAATTACTGTACATTATACTCTAATTTTACTTTACCAAATTATCATTATTCTATATAACTACCGGTACTCAAAATTTAAACTTATTCAAACAATTACTGTACATTATAAATACGTATATCACTCTAGGTGTACATCTCCCAAACTATCATAATTCCATACAACTATTCATCATATCACTCTTTAGTTTTACATCAACAAATAATCCTAAATCCATAAAACTATTCAAACCCTTTATAAACAATATCTGAACAATATATATATCCAAAGCATATCAATTTCTAGTTATACATCTGCCAAATTATCAGAATTCCATACAACTACTCAAAACTTATTTGAACAATTTCTGAATATTGTATATATATCCAAAGCATATCCCTCTCCAAATAATCCTAATTCCATACAACTACTCAAAAAAACTCATCTCCACCATTTATGAACATGATAAATTTACTAGATCCAAAATGTACTTCTGCTGCAATCGTTTCCCCCAGTTTAACTTATTACAACTTGTTTCACGAATTTTTGTTTATCAGATAAGTTAAAATGAATGTTAACTTATTCAAATTTTTTTCTCTGAGGAGAACTTTTTTCTTGGATTGTTGCCCAGAAGATGAGTAAATTTTCTGTTTGTCGGTGATAAAGAGTAAATTAAGTACACCACCATGTACCAATTACAGGCGAGGTTTCATGAATATATGAAGAAAGCTTGTGTATATTAACATCATTTATAACTCCTACGTGATTAGACGATATCAAATTAACTAACACAAAATTTTGCTTTTATATGACTTTGTACATCTAAATTGACTAATGGAGAAACAAAAGGAAATGAAGTTCAACATATCACTTTCTGTATCTGGGTTAATGAAGATGGGCATACATCATGCAGTGTGATATGAAGGAAATACTCTTATTTTGTATTTTCTTTTATACGACATTGTTTTTAATTAAATTATGTACATATTTTGCCTGGACAGCGGTGCTATGACCTACTCGTATTTCATATTCCAACTAACTCGAGAATATTATTTTATACAACTTTGTTTATGACCTATTCTTATTTCATATTCCAACTAACTCAAGAATTTTCTTTTAAAGACTTTGTTTTTAAACCTGCATTATGCAAGAGCAAAATCTGCTTATTACAAGTCTTTCTTTAGGCCTGAAATGTTATCTAAATTATCAATTAGACATTAATTAACTTATTCAGACCATAATAAACTCTCGATGTCATAGCCAGCCTTCAATGTTGGCTGGATTAGATTCCCATATGCCACTTAACGGCCATTGATAACAGTGGATAATCAAGAATATGCTGTTTATATTAATGATTTTTGGTAATGATGACCGAGACTATGTGAAAATCTCACTCGCTTCATTCTTGGCTCGTAGTGGATCAATTTGACTGAAATTTTCAGCAAATTACCTTTACACTATCTAGTTTTTAACTATTATAGCGAGAACTGCCATCTCTTTATCTTATCTCCCATACTGTATCTTTAATTAAATGTATACATATAATACAAGTCCTACATATAAAATCACTAATTGAGAACTGAAATGCACCTAACAGGTTATTGATGAAAGGCATACACCATGCAGTGTGCTATGACGGAAATTGTGTATGGACAGTTTCGTTTCTGCCTACACTTCATTAAATACCAAGCCTACCGTAAATTGTGAAATGTCAGCGAGTTCAACTTCAAACAAATGTAGAACAATGTTGTTGATAGATTCTTTCAATAAAGAGAAGTGAGAAGAGAATAATTAAAGTGTACGATTTACATAAGGAGCAGCAGAGATCAATGGAATTTCATTTCATCATATCTTTGTAAATACTGATTTGAAATGAATCATTTTTAGACTGATATTTCTAAAAGAGATCATACTTTTACAATATTGTACTTCGCAAAGGATTCCTGTATCGCTCAAACAACTCTCAGAGACTTTAACTTAGAAATTTCAACAGTTTACTCTTGAATAATGTCACTTACTGCAAACAAATATATCAGTGTGTAGTCAACTAACTTAAAAATACATTTTGGAAGATTAGATAAAGAGCTGACAATTCTCACTAGTATAGTTAAAAACTAGATAATGTAAAGGGAATATACTGAAAATTTCAAATTGCTCACTCTAAGCCAAGAAAAAATTATTTTAAAATCAATGTAGCCTTGATTGTCACTGTTGCCGCTCCCACGATAATTAACAATGTCGATCAGGCCTAAAGAAAGACCTACAATAGGCAGATTTAGCTCTTGCATAATGTATGTTCAAGAATTAGAGTTCTCAAATGTGTAGATTTGTATGATTCAATAAATTTGTACATAACCTTAAAATACCATCATGTTCTTAAGACTGAACATGGTTGGTTTTCATAAATCAATATTATTAACTTTAAATTCCAAACATCAACATGAAGGCTATCAACCTCTGTGATACAGTACAGAAATACAAACTTCCTTAGTAACATCATGTATACCCTGCTGTCCTGCTGCATGACATATATTATTACAAATATATTCAATAAATAAGAGGACATGCACTTACTGTTATAAAGCCACTCTTTATTCCACCGCAAATCAAATCACAACGTCCTATTAACTCCAAGATTTGATGAAATAAAATGAAATCAAATATGCCAAAGCCAAAAAACAACAAAATCTCATCTGATATGGTTGCCAAGAAGTTCCAGATGATCAAATCTATGGTGTAATGGTTGCCAAATTTCCAACAGAGAAAAATATTGTTATCTCACATGGGGGTGCTAATATCTAATGATAATAAATGGTATAATAATGCTTGTCTTCATTAGCCCAGTAGGAGCAGAACAGTAGGGCATTTAATCTCATTTCATTTTATTTTGGTATAATAATGGTTGTTAAAATCAAATTATATAATAATGGTTGTTAAAATCAAATTACTGTTCAGTTTTACAATTGTTTAATGCACGCCATACAGTATTTGTTCAGAAAATCTGATGGAGGATTATTAGAGAGAGGTCATTTCGGGACTAACACATGGTTCAATTTTATTTTGATAATTTGTTTGCGTGTAGGGGTCTTTAGCAGTGGATGGAAACCGGAGGACCCGGAGAAAACCCACGAGGTTGGACAGGCGACCCTGGGAATCAAAACCACGCCACTTGACTCAATGACAGACCTTATGATACAGTGCGCATGTGCTAA